TCATACTTATTCAAGGAACCTAGGACCCTATTTCTGAACCTTAAACGTTAAACCCTAAACCCTAAACCCTGAAATAGCTAGTGTCTAGGCCCCTACGTTATATTGCACAGGGTTATCGAAAGGCCAGATTTATCATCATCTGAGGAGTTACAGGGTTTAGGGTTTAGGGCCCTAAACCCTAAACCTGAATTCAAACCCTTTCCAAGTTGTACCCAAGTAGATAGAATATGAAACTGCCCAATATCAGAATAAGCTCTCCATATAGCCCATAGTCTCTCTACTTAAGTGGGACCAAAAAGCCATAATGCTAAATAGTGGTTTTAGGGTTTGGGGGTTGGTTTAGGGTTTAGGGTATAGGGTCAACATTATAAGTATAACCCCATATTCTATGAGGGGGACTATAGCCCGAAGCGAAAAGTGCAAGTTGGGGGCCATCCGTGGACGATGGATAAGATCATGGCCCTGCATGAGCATGCTGAAACTTCCTACTTTGAGGGTCAGGGGAAATTAGTAAGTAAGGAAGTAAATAGTGGGGATCACTCGGGTTACTTTACGGGTTATAGGGTCATTATCCTAGGGTTATTATCCTATTTGCTAAGTCCCCCTGACCCTCCAAGTATGGGTCCTAGATGTACAAAATGGAGTCCACCTTGGTGTTCGTCAAGTTGTGGAAGTGCAGCAAGATTCATGTCACTCAAAAAGACCCAGCTGCGCAAAAGACAAGCAGAAAAAACGTGACCATTGTGGGAAGAATTGCGACCACGAATTGCCAGTTTGTCGCGTTAGCTGATACTGTCATCATCATAGGATGCGGAAAGGTCATTGCTGTCATACTGAAATCATCGACGTACTAAAATGCATCTTCAGTTTCATTACATACTGGTTCTTAGTAGGGAGTGAGGGAATATAGTTTGTAGGCATCATATAAGGATTACATTCCTTTATTCCCTACTAAGAACCAGTAAGTTTAGTAGCATTACTTTTTCTATTGGGCATAATGGTGACTAGCACAGGCCACCACTGTCCCTCGATGTACTACATTATAAACGAGACCCTTTCGTACGTTTGTATGACTTTCGTGCACTGCAGGGGGCGATTTAATCAGACGAGGGATTGGGCGCGTATTGTACTATATTCATATGACCTATATGACTTATATGAGTGGTTGTCAAAATCATGGTCCCTTTTTGGGTCCCCATTATAGTACAACACCTAATATTTAGGGTACCCGAAAAGGGCCCAGAATTTTGACAACCACCCATATGGTGATTACAAGGGAACAACAACCATTTAACCTTTTTCAATAAGCCTTCTCCCGACATCCAACAGATTTGGAGCCGGCGGGTGCATTGTCTCAGCGACACATGTACAGTCTACAGGTGAGACGGTTTCGTGCCTTCAGCGCCTGGATCTTAAGGGTTTAGGGTTTAGGGTTTAGGGTTTAGGGTTGGGGAAAATCAATCAAGATAATTGAGGGCCGAAGTAATTGCCAAGATGAAATTAAGCCCCCTTGAGGTACCTTATACCATAGATACCGTTTGAGCCACAATCCAAACTCCTAGTATTCCCCTTAATAAGCCCTGTAGTACTCCCCTACATAATCCCGATACAACCCCCTTAAGGAGTTTAAACCTAAACCCTAACCCCTAAAACCTAAACCTTATATGATCCCCTATATATTTGATTCTCCAATCTTTCCATACTCAGTCATCCCAATAGCTTCGCTTGCAGGTTGCAGATCGGCGCCATCGAATTCAATTCCGGCAAAAGCAAATGCCGGACTACAGTCCGCAATAAGCCTCACTACTTGGGATTTCAACCCTAACACCCAAACCCCAAACCCTAAACCCCCTAAACCCTTTATGAAGGGATTTGATGGGGCTTGCGCAGTCCTGCGGGGCACCTCGACGTATGAGAGCCCCCTAAACAAGGCAAAGAATTGCACGTGGAGACTTGATAGAGTGTACGCCTACCTACATGCATACGTGTGTACATATATATATATATGAATAAAACCTGCATAGATAAACATATACGAATAGTTGCATATACACACATTCAGTCGTTCATGACAGCATCTATCTATGTATGCCTATCATGTATGAAGGTAGGCGTGTTTCTATGTAGACTATGCACGAGTCACTGCTTCCTACTTCAGAAGAAACCCCGAACCTCAAACCTTAGACACCTCATTCGCAAGCTGTTACGACTGTTACGAAGGAATGGAAAAGTTGATCCCCCGAGCAGCCCCTGTATCATCCGAAATGATGTAGTAGTTTCCTTTTTTGGTTCCATACGTTAAACCCTAAACCCTAAACATCAACCAACCTAAACCCTAAAACCCTAAGCATGCCTATAACCCCTGGTTATCATGTCATTCTCCAGTTGCTTTCCCGTTTGACTTTCCACGATGGCCTATATACCCCTGCGACCCTCAACCCTAAACCCCAGTCCATATTCCAAGAACCTCAAGCCCTAAACCCTGAATCCTAAACTCTAAACCCTAAACCCTAAACCCTAAAGCCTAAACCCCTAAATCCTCTACTATATATATATATATATATACATATCTCTCCTAAATCACGCAGCTGAAAAGCCTCTCACTCCAGCTCGCAGGTCTCGCTTTCCTCATCGCCACAAGTCACAGTTGTCGCCTGCAGGGGCCACCCAGGGCTTAGCTTTGAAGACAGCCACCAGGCTTAGGGTCTAGGTTTTAGGGATTAGGGTTCAGGGTTTAGGGTTTAGGGTTTAAGGTCTTAGGCTTTGAGGGTTTAGGGTTTAAGGTTTTAGGTTGTAAGGGGTTGGGGGCTTAAGTCTTTAGACTTCAAGGCTTTAGGTTTTACAGTCAGGTGGGGTTCTGCAAATCTTGGGATGATGGCTTCCCAAAACGGGGTGCCAAGGCAACCCACGGATGAAGGAAGCTGTCAGGAAATCATGCGGAAAATGGAAAAAAAGGATCCCCAGTGACCTAACTCAAAAGGTCCCCCTCTTTGAATGTAGATTATTTTAATAAGGAACTTAGGACCCCAAAAATGGAAAAGGGGCTTGCTCAACGCTCCTGGAAACATGCCCGCCTAAACCTCACACTGGGTTGCTGTTACGGAACTTAAGCTAAGGTATCATATCACAGATACTCAGCTAATAAACGGGCTTCCAAACTGCGGCAGTAATCTAGCTGAAGTTGCTTAACGGCAACCCAAACTGACCTGAACCCTGCACCTCAAGACCCACCAAGTCCTCGCTGACCTTCCACAGCTGCTTCGCAGCCTGCCAGGCTCTCAACTGCGGGGACCCAAATAATAGGGGTTTAGGGCCCAAATACCATTAATAGTATAGTATTTGGGTCCTAAAACCCTATTAGTTGGGTCCTTGGACCCTTAGGGGTGGGTTTGGGGAGCTGAGGCGTGCCGCCTTCACAGTGTAAGCTTTAGGGTTCAAGTCTCTTAGGGCTCCGGGCGTTGAACTTGAGAGCTCTCTTGCTTGTTTATGGCCCAGGGTTCAGGCATTCAGTGGAATAGGTTAGGTGGACCCCCCACCCAGTAATAGTGACTGTAGGGGATAATAGGGACTATATTAGGGTCCTCTTATATTCCTATTATATCACTATTACAGGGTGGGGGGTCCTTCTAAGGAATAGGTGTTGGAGGTTTAAGTGCAGACTGAAGGATAAAAGCGCCCGCAAGATGTCGTTCATTCTTTGGACTCGGTAGTGATACTAGTAGTAATAGCCATCAAAGTAATAGTCGAATAATCTGCGAAGTGTGGTAGTAGTACTAGTACCGCTTAGGGGGTTTAGGGTTTAGGGTTTAGGGTAATCATAAGAAAAAATGTATTGAACGGTAGTAATGATAGTACTAGTCATAGCACTATATACCCATAGCAAATGCGCCCAATTTGCCTCAACGCAGATTGTGCATAAGCATCCTGAGATTTGATTTCCATATGGGCCTCAGAATATACCGCAAGATATCCAAAATACTAAATGGTAGAACCACCAGCTTAGGAATGACAAAAAAAACTGATTATCCCAGACTTTGGATTTAGGATCCATATAACACGCTATACAGTGATACCTGGAGGGTCAAGGGGACTTAGTAGGTAGTATAATGATGGGGATAAGTAGCGTTACTACATGGCTTATAGGAGTTATCAACCTACTTACTACTAAGTCCCCCTAACCTCCAAGTACAAACTTGGGAATATTCATTATCATGGGGGGGGGTTATCTTATCTGGGCCGGCTGATTGCTGGCACACATAAAGATGCCCAGAAGGGATTCCTCGTGCTGACCCCGAGGTTTAGGGTTTAGGGACCACATTCAAATCCAAAGCCCAGGAATTGACATTAGGGACAAGAGAACATATGCACCTAAATCCAAAGCCACAAACCCTAAACCTATCTGCCATTGCGGGCACCTAGCAGACCGTTTCCTGAAAGCTTAAACACCCATCTCCACATGGCCACTACGTGCTGGCTTGGAATCAGGGTCTGCGTAGGTAACCGGAATGACTTAGGGCTTAGGGCCCGGGGTTTAGGCAATATAGGGTTACTGATAACTCTTCAAAGAACAGCAGAACAACCTAACCTTCCACACACCTGCGCTTAAAGCCCGAAACCCAGAGCAAAAGCTAACCTTAACTAGCCAAAGGCTAGACTGGGGCTCTCTGCAAGAATGACCCTGCAGGGCAAGAGGAATATGTCAAGATGATGCAAGGTTAGACTATTACTTAAGCTTGCTATAATAGGGTTTATGGTTTAGGGTTAATAATTAATGCAAGTGCCAAACGCAAGTGCCAAGACTATTGCCATTACTATTGTTCTTAACCGGTTGAAAGGTGACAACTGAACCCCCAAGAAGTTTCAAAATGAGGGCTACCGCCGCAATCATTGGCCGTTGGAAGGCATCACAGTGCAGCGGAATATTCTGAATGTCTTCTCTCTTCCCCTAGGCCCCTAGACCTTACACCCTAAATCCTCAAGCCTCAATTCCTACATCGAGCCTGCTCATCCAAGGTGACAGAAGGCAGCCAGGATTCAGGAACCCGCCCACAATATGCCGCGGTCCGGCCACACTTTGTAAAGGCCTTGGCAGGTTGCTGGTTGCTGCTTAAGGGTGTACCGGGTAGGGATTGAAGGGACCGGTGTTTGAGCTTAGGGGTTGAAGTACCGTCCAGCCTTCAGGGCTTAGGGCCCGGAATTTGAGGTCAGAGTTTGTGGCATTAAGTCAAATCTACAACATTCCTATATTCAACCCTATATCAACCATCCAACACCCTACTTCTTGCCAGGCTGCGGTCTCCGTGTCATCGAACAGACCGCCCCCGCTGGCCTATGAGATGGGAGGATTGCAGGTGGGAGTGGGAGTGGGAGTGAGGGCGCGTGAAACGCAGCTTCTCATAGGCATGAACGGATGCCGAAAATATTGCAGCAAGCTCGAACCAACCAAGGTCACAGTCAAAATCGAGAGGAGGAGAATGATGATCGTGGTCGTGGTGATAATGATCATGATGATGATGACGATGTATTACTAGCAAACATCGTCATCGCTGCCACCAACGTCGTCGTTGTCCTCCTCCTCCTCCTCCTCCTTGCCCTTGTCCTCAGCGTCCTCCTCCTCCCCTCGTCCTTGTCTTCCTTCTTCTCCTCCTCCTCCTCGACCTCGACCTCCCCCTCCTCCTTCTCGTCGCCGTCGCCGTCGACCTCGCCCTCGCCCTCGCCCTCGCCCTCGCCCTTGCCCTTGCCCTCGCCCTCGCCCTCGCCCTCCTCCTCCTCCTCCTCCTCCTCCTCCTCGTCCTCGTCCTCGTCCTCGTCCTCGTCGTGGCAGCAGATCATTGCAGTACCAATGGCAGCAGCAGCAGCAGCAGCAGCAGCAGCAGCAGGGGCAGGGGCAGGGGCAGTGGCAGTGGCAGTGGCAGTGGCAGCAGCCATGATAATGGGACTGTCAGTGGTAGTGGCAGTGATAACCTTCATGTTTGACTGCGGCCGAGTACCAAGCATCCCTCATACCATATGAGCCATAGTCTGAACTCCCAATATCCACCTTAACCCCTATAACACTACCCTATACTATCCCCTAGATAACCCCTTTTTTAAGGAGGTTTAGACTATAGCACATGTGCCCTACAGCGGCATGCGGGAAGTTCGTGACATTTGCGCATTTTGTGAAAGTTTTGAGTTCATAAAATTCCTGGGACAAAAAATGCTTGGGTATCCAAAAGAATGTGTTTAGGTTCTTGTGTGTTCCCTGTTTTACCCCTGAACCCTGTACCCAGCACCTTGAATCCCCTCAGCCCCGAACCCCCTAAACCCTAAACTTCTAAACCCTCAACCCTAAGCCTTAACCTCTAAACCCCAACCCTGCAATTCCTGACCCCTAGACCCTTAAACCCTGAACCCTACAACCTCCTAATCCTGAACCCCAATATTCTATATATAGTAGTTTCCATTTTCTTTTTCCATTACCCCGAAAACCCCTATATAACCCCTAGATAACCCCTGTATAACCCCTGTATAACTCCTGTATAACCCCTGTATAACCAATATTAAGCCCCTATATACCCTACAAGCTATAAACCTCTAAACCCTGACTACGGCTTAGCCTGGAGGGCCGGCAAAGTAGCAACGTGGACGATCGCTGAAGCCCCGTGCTGTATGGAGCGCATCCTTGAAAGCGGTTTAAGGTTCAAGGATCGAAAATATGTAATAATGGAAAAGAAACACTAGTAAGGGTTTAGGGATTAGGGTTTAGGGTGTTGGGTCACAGGGTTTCGAGTCTTAGGGTTACAGGACGATAGAGTTATAGGGTTTGGGGGTTTATGGTTTAGGGACCTGAAAGATATAGATGGTTCATAAGGCTAGTGTGGACGTATGCAGTGGTCAGGTGGATGCTTTTTCCCTAAACCCTAAATCCCTAAAACCCTAAACCCTAAACCCCTTGAATCCCTCAAACTCCTTGAACCCCAAAACTCCAAAACCCTAAAAACCCTAAACCCTTCCACAGAGCATCGTCATCTCCCGGAATCGCGATCCAAGGAAACCGAAGACCTGTGTTTAGGGATTTAGGGTTTAAGGTTTTGGGGTTTAAGGATTTAGGGATTTAGGGTTAGGCCAGGAGATCTAAGGTAGACATAGTTCAGGGTTGAGGGCTTGGGGTTTAAGAATTTAGGGCTCCGGGTTACGGGGTTTAGGGTTTGTCGTACCGCGCTCTCTACTCCTAAACCCTAAACCCTAGACCCTATACTCCACACGTGAGACTGTGAGGGACAGCAGGCTGTAACCTTCCTTTAACTTCAGAGTCTCCCTGCCTGGAGACCAAGCACATAAAAAGACGGATCCTCCCGAAAGGGCTTTCTAGATTCTACACTAGTAGTGTGGTTTAGGGTTTAGGGTTTAGGGTTTAGGGTTTAGAGGGTTTAGGGTTGTATAGAGACCTCACAACTACAAGGAAAGGATTCTTATGTGTATCTGGTTTTCTCGGAGCCAAAACCTACCAAAACAGTAAACCTAATCCCTGATACATCACTTGTAAGTCCGACCCAAACTCTGAACCTGAGCCATAAACCCAAGCACTGATCGCACACCTACGCCCGAAGCCCAGGCCCCTAAGCCCTGAACCCAAAAGCCCAAGCCTACAACCTAAACACAATTCATGTGCCGTCCTCCCACGTTTCCAGTAATCCAAATACGTTTCAGAGCTTCCCCAAGCCTAGACCCCCCAACTCTAAACCCTAAACCCTTAACCCCCCAACCCTAAACCCTAAACACCCCACCTTTCCAGCAATCCACACTGGGGGCAGATATGACATGGCGGATCTTTCGGAGCTTGCCGACAGCGACTTCTGAAAGTCCTTTGCAGCTTACATGGAATGCGCTAACCCTAAACCCTATACCCTAAACACCAGAAAACTTTAGAAGTCTATAGGCTTAGGGCTGCGTTTGTACGGGGTTCTCACATGAAAGGCCCCGAGGAATCCTGGAGGTATACCATGAATATAGAAGAAATGTGCCGGTCCCTCACTGTAACATTACGCGGACCTAATTTTGAAGTTTTGTTTTGGAACGGAGGGGCCCTAAACCCTAAACCCTAAACCCTAGATTCAAGATTCAAGATAAATTTGCTCACAGGCTCTCATCTCTCTAGAGGCCCCTAAACCCCAAACCCTAAAACCCTAACACAGGCTTAGGGTTTAGGGGACCCTAACACCTAAAACCTAAGCCCTAGACCCTAAAACCCTAACCCCTAAACTACGTGAAAATGTAGGATAAGCATTGTGCTTGGGGGATGAAATACCACCTAAATTCGAAGCTTGGGACCTAGGTGCAGGTACTGCTCACATACATGGTGCGCTTATAGCCTGGATCTTAGTATAACAAACCGTGTATCTTGAAGGCTTAAAAAGCATAAGAGATATAGTCGTTTCTCTAAATGGGGGACCCCAAGATAACCCAACAATACTAAAGCCCTTATTATAGGTACCCGAAACAGGAACCCATAATTTCGGGAAACTAAACCCTAAGCCCAAAAACCTAATCCCTGAACCCTATATGGCTGGTTCTTAAAATTATGGTCCTTTTTTGGGTACCCTAAATATTAGGGCCGTATTATAATAGCGACCCAAAAAGGGACCATAATTTTGACAACCACCCATGTAGCTCCATATATCCGCTATAAACCAGTTTAAGGTATCCCAATTTTGGGAACCCCAAGTATTGTTATCTGCATTTCTGTACACTAGCTCTGGGAGCTCAAGCTACCTTGCCTAACCTTTAGCCCTCAACCTATTTCATCCCTTCGTGCTAGGATTTAGATTTTAGTGCTTAGTTGTTAGGCTTTAGGTTTAGGGTTTAGGGTTTAGGGCTTAGGGTTTAGGGTTTAGAGCCCCCGGTTCGGGATACTGGACATGATCAGGCAGTACCGCTGCCGGAAAGCTGCATGACAAACCAAGAACTTCTGAGTAGTGGAAACACATGAACCGACTTTAGCAGACAATGCATCAGCAAACCCCAACCCCCAAAAGCTGTGAATCTATAATTGTAGTTCTACTAACCCTAACCCCCCAGACCCTAAACCCTAAAACCCCCAAGCCAAACCAAGCTTTGAACCTGTACCTGTAGTTGTATGCAGAATCAGCTACCTACACCCCAAACCCAAAACCCTACACCTTACACCCTAAACCCTAAACCCCAAACCCTAAACCCTAAACCCTAAACCCTAAACCCCAAACCCTAAACCCTAAAACCGTAAACCCTGAACACCCAAGAGTCCGTGAGCACGGCGTTTGGGTTGATGGCATGCGAGGTGATGCCATCATTCTCGGCTGCATTACGCAGCCGCCGTTCCAGCTCCAGAGCGAACGTAAGGCTGGCAAGCTTGGCATTGCCTAGGGTTTAGGGTTTAGAGTTTAGGGTTTAGGGTTTAAGGTTTTGAGTTTAGGGTTTAAAGTTTATTCAAATTGTGTAGGGTCCAGGTTGAGAGTTTTGAGCGACTTTGGGCGACTTTCGACGGAGTTTCCGTTTTAACTTTTGCCCTATACAATTTGTATTTATCCGGGCTTGAGGGTTTAGGGTTTAGGACTTCGGGCTAGATGTACCGTGTGTTCGCATGGTAGTTGGATCATTGAGTGGTTTCCCAAGATAAGGGGACCCCAGAATATTGGAGCCCTTATTATATGTCCCCCCAAAAAATGCCCCTAATTTTGGGAATCTCCCACGTACAAGAGCATTGGTAATATTGCTACAGCGGTATGGGAATGATCTGATACGTGTGTGAAACCTCTCGCACCATAATCATTCCTTCCATTACCACCAGAAATTCCAACAATGTCACGAAGGATTCACGATATCTGCTCGTATCCCTAGCGCGCAACCCCAAACCCTGCGCGCTACATCCCAAAACCCTAAATCCTAG